CTGCGTCGCGCACCACTTGTAACCACGAACTGACCCCTTCCGGCAGGTAAGATTTCTGTCAATGACTGGGCTGCAGCGATGGAGTCTGTCCTACAGCTGGAACTGCCCTGGAGGATGCTGCGGTCTCACCTAGCACACATGAACCCGGATGGAGAAGTTGACTTCATGTCATGTTTTTATGATTTGAAAATAGGTCAACCTATAAAAGAGGTAAGGAGGAAAACGCCTCCTCGCTGATCTTGGAGGAACAGCTTTTGGTGCAGTCTGAGGCACAAGGCAGTGGTTTGGCCAATCAGGTAGACATCTACAGCTGAACTAGTTGCCGAGCTTCCTTGTATAGTCACGGGAGGGAAATGAGCACTGCTAGGGTACGAATCATCGTTCCCTGCTAAGGTAGGTGCTTAAAATAGGTCGGATGAATCACAAGCTAGAACTGCTTCTTACTTTCTGTTGACTCTCAAGGGCGTTTAGATAACGCAGCTGAGGAGATGCGACAAATCCTACCCAGCGCACGCAACCCTCGCTCTGTGAGATGAGCTTGTAAATTGTGCTCCAGAGCTGATTCGGGCACCTGTAGGAGGAAGTCACAGTTGTAGCTGGACTTCGAGATGCTTAATGGAAGCTGAGGTCTCTTCTACAGGGTCCAGTTGTTACTGAGCGGCTCTGCAGTGCTTTGGTACTTGGCTGTATCCATCATTTTTCTGAACAGCTTTGTATGCGTGCATGGCGCACAGCAGCTTCCCTAGCTCATCCCTATTTCCACAAATAATCACTGAAGGTAGGAGGTGTGAAGGGCTCCTCCCCCCCATGCCCCACCATCTGAAAGTGACAGGTTTGAGCTGATTATTCCTCAGGGCATGACACAATGTCATTCCAGGGAACTTGAGCATAACGATTTCCCCCCCCCGCCCCCCCCAACATTTGAGATATTAAACTGGGAGCATAGATTTGGATAGTACATATTCTGTTGGTTAGACTAACTCAAACCAAGGTCTGAACAGTTTTGTGTATGGGATTTCAAAACCAGGTTCAGCCGGCTTTGGTGGAAACACTGTGCAGATACAGAAAGGATCTGGAGATCATCTTTAACGTCATTGACAAAGATCACTCCGGTAAGTCTAGGTACCAGCTCTAGGAAGCCTATACCAGTTCCCTCTCCCCACTGTGTTTCCTCCTTAAGGCTTCTAAATATAGAGGAACCAGAGGTGATGTCATTTTTCCAGTTTCATGAAGACTAATTTAAGCAGTCGGGCTGTAGCCATATAAGGGACAGCGCACAGAGCCGAACTTGAGAAAAAAATTCTCACATATTCTCCAGTGCTGGCTTCACTCGTTTGGGGGCTTCTTCTCCCTTCCACTCTCACTTGCAGTATTCACTGCTTTCTCAATTCCACTGTTGAAAGCATTAGATCATCACCTGAGGTAAAAATGTGCCTCAGTCATGAAATCACAACACGCAGCTAAGCCATGGTGGGCAGGTAACTTCCTTGCAGCGAAGGAGGTGCACGTGCATGCACACGGGTGGGTACGCAGGAAGGGGGCACTGGGAAAAGCGATCTGCTGTCTGTCTCCCTCAGGTCTGATTTCTCTTGAGGAGTTTGGCCAGACATGGAAGCTCTTCACTTCTCACCTGGGCATCGACGTATACGACGAATCCCTCGACAAGTTAGTCCTCAGCATCGACTACAACAAAGACGGCCACATTGACTTCAATGAATTTCTAGAGGCCTTTCACGTGGTTCACAGACTGGAGAAAAAGGCGAACTCGTGAAAAGGCAGAACTTCCTGTGGGCTGCCTTGCAAGCTCGCTTTCCCAGCCTTAGTCAGAAGCGGTCTGGGAAACCAATTTCCTGACCAACAAACAATAAATGGGCTGCTTGAAACGGTAAGCACCGCGCTCGCTGTGTAAGCCTTTATTTAGTCCCTGCTGGATGACACATACCTGCTAGTAATGAGACAGAAGAGATACAAACCCACTGCCTATAGTCTGTCTGTCACTGCCACATCAGGACCTTCCGACCCATCCTCCCCCTTGGTGGCAACTCCCCCATCAGCCAGCCCTGTGCACGCTGCCACGGGCACAGTCGAGCTGGCAGCAGGAGAGCCTTTGGTACGTTCCTTTCCGCACCCCTTGGCGCCAGCTGAGCAACAGCAGTGGTGGCCACAAGGAGCATACTGGGCTCTCCCTGGGACGTAACTGGCAGGACGGTGGCCTGCCCTGGGTTAGCCCAGCCGGGAGAGGAAAAGAGGGAAGAGGCACGGAGGTGATGTAGGCAGTGCTGCATTCCATCCCGCTCTTTGCATGACGCAGCGAGATCAAACCCTTGCAGGCCCCGGGCTAGGCTGCGTGAAGTTTGCAGGCACAACTCAAAAGCACTGGGTTGAAAGGTGTTCACACTTGCACTAGCTTTCCTCTTGTGACCAGCTGCTTTTGCCTGCAGTGGCTGGGGTCTGGAGATAAGAAACAGTCGTAACGTGTCACCTTAATCACAGCGTGTTAATGTGACGTACGCTAGATCGCAAAATAAAGCTGTAGCTTTCATGGTTACGTGTGTGAGTGGCGTCTTTTTGCCTGCATTTTGGTATCCTACACATACCAGAGTACAACATACCAGAGTACCACACCATTTTCCTGAAGAGTAACTGCACCACTTTAAAGCAGATGTGTAAGAACACAAAAGGAAACAAATTTTGATACTACTGAACCTAAATATTCTTGCATATAATCAAGCATAAATTCTTTACCAAGTAAACCGAGAAGACTGAGTTTTTGGAACGTGGCAAGCTGGAAGAGTCCAGTGTCCCAGCCCCCCCCAGACTGCAAGCCAGATTCCCATTCTTGCACGTACCACCCTGCCCGCTCCTGGTGGGGAGAGCAGGGAGAGCTGGACCTCATCCTCTTGCACACTGCAGGCTGAAAGCAACACGCCCCTGCAAAGCGGAGTGCAGCCAGACCAGGAGCTTTACGAAAACAGCATCACCTCATTCAGCCTTGGTAAGTGCAACATCCACAAATTGCTTTTTGGGTAGGAAAAAGCTCTAGCCTTGCCCGCCTTTAAATTTTAATAGCGAAAGATAAGCTAAGTAAAGCAGCTAGGTTAAGTAAAGTAGCTAGGTTTTATTTAGTAACAGTGTCAAAAGTACAAAAAAAAAAAAAAGCATCCTTCCCAGTTCATCATCACAGAATGTAACAGTAGCCCCAGCATAAGGTATTGCAGTCTTTCTTAAATTTTATTTTCTACAATTAAATACAAAATACTTTTCCAGAAGATGAATGAATAAACATGCACACTTATTTCTATTGCTGGGGGGGCGGGGGGAGGAAGAAGAATCTTTTAATAGTGCAAACAAAATTTACAGAAAAATTTTAAGGGCATTGGTAATATTGAATGTGTGGTTTTAGCATGCATTTATTCTGATCTATGGCCTGTGAGGATGGGTCCCACCTTATTCCAGTGGTGTGGCAAAAAGGCTCCACCTAAGGTGGACAAATGCCACGGCATGTGGTGGGACCTCACTTCCCACCATCAGTTTCCTTGCTCTGGAGCCCTCCTTGCCACCAGAAGAGAGGGCAGAAGCGGGGTGGGCAGTATAGAGGCGGGAGCGCAGTGGCGCAGCTGACAGCCCCTGGCTTCGATGTCCCCCTCTAACGACGTCCCCCTGAAGCCACCCAGGCGTGAAGGGGAAGGACGCTGGCCTGGAGGGATCACCTCCCGGGAGGGGGAGTAAGGGCACGGATGCAAGGCCCTGCTTCATGCAGCAGGCAGCGAGAAGAGGCTTCCAGGGATGCAGAACTGGCATGGGAGAGAGCCGAGTCATTGGGCCAGAAAAGGAGCGAGCCTGCCCCACCAGCTGCTGGGGCACCCCAAGGGGGGTGCGGGGAGTAACTGTGAAACATCCCACGCCAGGAATAAAAGCCGCTCGAGACAAACTGGGGGTGGGAGAGAGCCTGGCTACTTGTACTTAAATCTGAACCGTTCCAGCTGAAGCTCTTCTTCCATAACCCCCACCCCCAAGCTTTTTTTTTTTTTTTTTTAATCCCACAATTAAACACAGCAGCTACTTAGTATTACAGCTGTGAGCAGTCTGCAGCTGCATACCCAAGCTCTTGCCCTACAGGCGCAGTCCGTCCTACACCACCACCAGTGGCACCTCTCCTGCTTTCAGGGCAACTCTGCTCTGACCTCCGGACCAGGCCAGGAGTGCCCGGTGTTGGACCTGGGCTGACCCAGGCTCCCGCTTCACCAAGCCCCCTGGCTGCCGCTGGCAGGGCAACACAGTCCCCATGCCCCGTGCCCACAGGGGTGCAGCCCAGGTGCTTCACTACCCACCGTGGAACGTGGCTGCCCCTTGTTGGGACTGTGCAGCTCACCTCCACCCCCCCTCCAGGAACAAGCAGGGCTCTTTCCCCGAGCAAGGAGACCACAATTAGCAGGGCAGAAGCCAGACAAACTTTGTACCCCAACCATTACATTTTCCCACTTGCTTGTAGGAGCAGCAGCAGCAGCAGAGAAGGAAAGATGAGCCACTTCTCATCTGTCCAGTTTGACAAACTCAGGTCATTTGCACAGCATCAGGGAGAAGGAAACAGCGGTGAGGCAGCGAGCAGGGAGGGCGCTGGCCTGGAGGAGCTGGGTTGGGGCCCGCATGCGGCACGTGTTCCGAGCTGGCCACCGCTCATTATTCTGGCCAGCGGCCCCAACCAGCCCCATTTTCTGCTTGCAGGCGTGCCCAGCTGCCCCCCCGAGCCATGTCCGTGCTTCTGTCCCTGCAGATGCAAACTGCTTAAGGCAGCAGCAGCCCTTCCTATTACCACATAAATACCTTCGAAGCACCTGCACTCCACCTGAGAACTGATCATGATGTTCAGAAATATGCCAAAACCTCGGGTCACACCATGAATTTCAAATTAAAGATACCAGTGACACTCCCATTTAAAAAAAAAAAAAAAAAAAAAAAAAGTTAAGGGGTGTCCAGGTACATTTGGCCACAGGCTCAATTGCTTCAGACTTGACTGCAGCTGCATGTAAAACCAACGTCCTTCACCCTTCTTGTTTCTGAAAACAAGCTCAGCTGTAGGTAAAAATAAATAAATAAATAAAAGCCTCTGAGGGGCAATCGCCTCGCATTTCTCACAACCTAGGATTCAACAAGAAAAGCAAAATGAACTGCTACCACTGCCTTTTCGCATGATACCGGATAGAACAAGAAATCATCACACGGGCTCTTGTGCGCTCACCCTCTGCACTGTCACATCTGCTTAAACTAGACAAGGATTTTACTTTCCTTTACTGGGAAACACGCTAAGTGATCTCTCATGATACATACAAAAAGGTAAAAAACCCAAAAAACAAAACCACAATGAAGCCAAAACCCTACAGAACAGGCACCACGCCAATAAAATGACTTCCACATCCAAGCGCTACCGGAACCGTACCTGTGCACGAGCCCCTCAGCAGGCCCACAGGTTTCCCGGTGGCTCACACAGTACGCGCCTCTCGCAGAGCATCCCGTCCAAGGGCTCCCAGGCCCTGGCACCACCCAGCTCTGCCGGGCTCTGCAAAAACATGACATCACCTCCTAAGGCCTCCCGTACCTTCGCTCTCTTGAGCAAGTGTCCAGATGCCGTCACGGCAGCAGCGACTCCACAGAGACACAGCAGGCGGGGGTGGCACAGCCATTGGGAGCTTTGCCTCCCCGGGGCCACGGGTGCTGGGGACTGGCAAGAGAGACAGAGGTGTGTCCTCCCCTCTTTTCATCAAGGTCTTTCGCATAGCTGTACAAAACTGGAACCAAAAACCTCGTGCTCAAAAGCACCATGCACTGTTGCTACCAAAAAAAAAAAAAGTTTTCAAATCTGGTAAAAAAATGGCATAGTTGTGTTTTGAAAGAGCGGAGGGGGTCTCACAGAAATATGCTTATCAGAAAACACTTTGTTTTTATAGGCCCTATCTGCTCTTTTCTCCTCCGCCTGGTAAGACAGAATCACTATGATCCTCTCTGCTCGCACACCTCCATGCTGCTGGGGGAGCCCGTGGCCGTGGGAGAGGCTAAAGCTACAGCCGCTTCCCAAAGCTGTCAGCCAGACCCGTGCTGGCTGGGGGCAAAACAGCAGCACTGACCGGCACAAGGGAAACCACAGCCAACACCTCGAGTAAAGCAGGGTTTTCCCCTCCAGAGGCAGCCTACCTGGTTTCGGTTTAAATGGCCAGGGAGGCACTTCCCTGCAGGACGCACCCTTCTCCTTGCAGCAGCTGGGAGCTGGCAGCTGCTGCAAAAACTGGTTTCCAGTGAACAGATTCAAGGCGCAGGCACTAACCTGGGAGCGGTCTGAAGGGAGACTTCCAGGCAGCCCATCCCCAACGCCATGTGACAAGTGTGACTTCAAATTAAAAAACAAAAAACCAAAAAAACCCCAACAACAAACAAAACAGGAAAGGAAAAAAGCGAGGGGAGAAGAGAAACATCAAAGCCTTCCATGAATTCAGGCTGCGCTGGAAGGGTGGCAATTATGCCATTCTTAACTCCGAGGCTATTTGTAAGGGAAAGGATTGTGAGACTTGGAAAGGGTGCTCGAGTGGAAGAGGCTTATCTTGCTCTGTTCAGAGGAAAGCATCACAGGCAGAAAAGTGTCTGTCACCTTGGAGAAGCCGGAGTCCTGAGATTTTGCCTCGAAAGCCCTGGGGATGCAGGGAAGGCAGCCATTTTGTTCAGATTAAAGACAGATGCAGCTCCCCGAGAGAGCCCGTCCTCTCGCATTAGTGGATATTGCAAGACATTTGTCTCTACCGGCGTTAGCCCTGCACTGAACCAGGTGCACATGAGATGAGAATCAGGATAAGCGTGTATTAGAAACATCACCTGCTTATTTCAAGTTATTCCTATTCCTCTAATTTACATTTCCCTGGATGTTTCACACCATACATTAGTGATTCACAACGATGTACATTTACACACAGCAGGAGAAAAATTAATGAATTCCATCACTTCCCTTATTTGGGGGACTTTGTGTCTGAGATACAGCTCTCTCGTTTTATTAAGCCTTTTGATCTCCACAGAGTAATCTGTTTTCCCCTTGGCAGAACTGTGTAATTCTTCCTAATTTAATATGAATTACATTTATGCACTTTGGGCAGAATAAGCCTCATTATTTGTTATTTCTCACACACTCTCTTAAAACCAGGCCAAATTCCACCTACCCGTCCCCCGCAGGTAGGTGTGCACGTAGCACGACTATTGTAAAATACTGAGGTAGTGCACGGCACACACACACGCAGCAGCTAAATGAGAGGTTGGTGTCAGGGAAATGGGGAGAAAGAGCTTCCGAGCCTTCCCTCCCGCGTGAGGCATCGCTTACTGCATCGCACAGCCTGTGCTAGGCAGGAAATCGTGTAAATAAATAATGATGGCTTTCGTCAGGTACGTCATGGTGCCATAGGCCCCACTTGGAGCGCTGTCATAAAAGAAGTGGCAAATTCCTGTGGCCACATCTTTCTCCAGGATCCTGCCAGTAGCTCCGAATGATTTCTGAAAAGACACAAGCCAAGCAGCAGGGCAAGTTAGGCGTGCGTGCTTATTGACTGGAAAAAAACCCGCCACATGATGATTTCGCATTTGCACTCAATACTGAAAGCAGTTCTCCTTTCCCTCATGAAAACCTTTGTCGGGATTATTATAGGACCCACGTGGCTTAGTTGGATCAGGGTAAGTAAATGAGGAACATATAATTTCGTAGATTATTGTCCTGTGGGGGGGAATGGGGAGTGGAATTACTCAGATATTGGTAATTCTAACGCCTTGGTAAAACAAAACTTCAATCTACGCACTTACTTCAGGGCTTGTTAGCCACCACAATGTGGTGGTTAGAAATTTAAGAAAACAATTCTTAAATTAGTTTTCCAAACATATTTCCAGAAGATACTTAAGTGATTTTGTAGGGGAAAAAATAAGGGTAGGATCAAGCTCATCACACATACTAAAGAAAAAGGAGCAGGGGACAATTTCCAAACGGGGAGGCTTCCCACCACTGCCCTTTGAACTCACCAGCTCCTGCAGAAACAGGTCATTGGCCATGTGCACGATTCGATCCACGTGGATGATGCCCCCGATGCTGTTCACCTCGATGTCAGAGAGGAACGTGAGAACGAGAATAGCTTCCACCAAGAGCTGCCTGTACTCAGGCTGGGGTACGTGGTTCAGCACCGACTCCACGTGCACAGCAAACTTGATTTCGCAAGGGGTCATCTGGCAAGTTTGAGTGGAAATGGAAAGAAAAACTGACAAATCCAAAAGACGAGCTCCCCAGATCCTGCAAGCACTTAAACATATGCTCCTCTCTCTCTCTCTGCACACGGGGGCAGACTGACTGAAGCGAACAAAATGTTTGCGCGGCTTTAGCACTTAGCAGAAACTTTTTGTGTTGCTAGGCCCTGATCCTGCGAACAGTTATGCAACTTCCAGCAGGCTGCTCCAGCCCTGCAACCCATCACACACACGGTCTAGTTGCGTACAGGACTGCTGATGCTTAGCTGGCAAATTAACTCTTTGCTCCTCATGCTGCCGTCTCACGCGCTCTGCCTCCTAAGTATCTCTCTGGCATCGCGGGTCAGTCACAAAGCCAAAATTACTGTCGAGTTTTAAAAATAACCACCTGCTTAGAGGGAGTGCTTTTCCACACAGAGATACAGCCGTATTGTTTGCGGAGCAGCCGAATTTGCACTGGCATAGCTGTTACGTGAGAGGCTGCTGCCTTAGGAGGTTTGTGCTTATTTCATCTGATTCCTTGAAACAGGAAAATTAGATACTGTCTAGGTCTGACAGGATAAAAGTATAAGCCTCTTTATCTACACAATAGGAATAAATAAGGCTCTCCATTCTGGGAAAAAAAAAAAAAAAAAAAAAAAAAGGTTTAAATTTGGCAGAAAATTCCAGCTCCTCTCTTCAGCTGCTACCACCATCCCTCAGAAGAAAAGGAAGCCAGAGGCAAATCTGAGGGAACCAGACAGGACAACAGTCCCAGGCACACAAGCACCTCTCTGGAGCCGGCAGATTACTACTGTTCACAAGTTTATTTCATAGATGTGAATTCAAAACTTGCCAGCGTGCCTAAAGACAAAGTGGCAACCCAACTAAGGAAAAAAAAAAATATAAGGAAAGGTTATGGATTTGAAGAGTCAAAGGTTTGGTTAGAAACAACCATCCTTAATTGGCATTCACTTTTGAGACTGTGATGCCAAAACACACTGGCTGCTGCCGCAGCACGTTAAAAAAAAAGCAGCAAGCAATGCACCCGCCTCATTCCAGCCAAGCTGTGCTCTCTCTGCCCGAAGGACTGCCATCAGCCACCCTCCTCCAAGCACCGCTCCCTGGGCGCACGGGGCCAGCGAAGGTGTGCGGAGGGCAGGCTCGGCAAAGGGGAAAACCCACCACAAACCTGCTCCCAGGCCTGCCTGGCAGGAACTCATCTGCACAGCCCCAGGGAAGCCGGCAGAAGCGCCGGGGGAAGGCCCAGATCTTCTCGCCTCCTTAAAACCAAGGATCTGCAACAGCAGCCCTGCCGCATCTTACACTGTCAAACCAAACATTCAGTCACGGGGCTAGAAAAATCATTGGCATTTTACTGTACCTCTCTGGTGGTTGAAGAAGGAAGGACATAGCCATCAATGGACAGACCATGGCACTGAAACAACAACATTTTGACAGTGAACAGAAGTTACAGTTTTTGCAATTAAGTCTGAGTGTTCTCCGATACCAGCCAGTACATAACAATCCTCAGTCAAAAAAACCAAAACAGAAAAATCCCTCCAAAAAACAAAAGCAAAAGCCCACAAAGAGAAAAAAAAAAAAAAAAAAAAAAAAACAACAACCCAACCAAACCCAAACAACAACAACAAAATCTGTTAAAAATATTATTTCACCTTTGCTGAAGAAGTTACTATGCAACCCGGCAAGTGTTAGAAATAGCCTGATGTGACACGTAGAGGGTGTGCTGTGTTCCAGCCTAGCTACTGATGGGGAGGAAAATACTTAAGAAAGCCACTACAGCAAGAGGCAGACAAAGGAGGAAAACAAATCAACAAGAACATTCTGTGGGAAAGGATGTAGAAATAAAAGACAATGCAAAAGCACAACAACAGACTACGAAAGTGAGAACCTTTATTTTTCATTTTCACTAAAACAACATTTAGTTCAGTGTTTGAGATCCAGGGCAACACAACTCAAGGATGTCAACATCTGGTGGTGCTTTGACATGGGCCACCAACAGTGGGGGAGAGGTGGTGTTAGAAATATGAAGTGGTGTACAAGGAAAGGGTGACAAAACCTCAGTGGTGAGAAGGGAGGCTAAGGAATGGCATTTCTGGGTATGTGAGGTACAAAAACACACCAAGAAGAAGAGAGAGCTTTTATGAATAGTCCAAAGAGAGTTTAAGAATGAAATACCGAAGGCAACTTTAATAAGCACAATTGATTTTAACAGCCAGGAAACGATTCCAATACTCCCAGCTATTACGTTAGGTCAGGACAGAAGCGATGCTTACTCTGCTGAAAGATGCCACTAGTAAATAGCCACGAGGCCATATATGACTTGTCATGGCTGACATCAACACTAACAGCTTCAGCACAAGTGATTTTAGAAGGACAACCAAAATCAACCTGAGCTGGCAATGCACATTTTTCCCAACTGTGTAGGCATGAACAGCTCAGCGCTGCAAGGTGCCGAATGCTGGCTTTCATCCAGCAAAGCAGAACCACCGGCGCATAATCACTTTGAAATGAGTAAAAATTCATAATTCCCCTCTCCTCCTTCCTGAAGAGCTGCTGCAACACATTTCCATACCCCTGATCTCCAAGGTGCTGGCAAGGATTACTTTTCACTTAAAAACAAACAAAAAACACATTAAGAATGCCACACAGCTCAAAAGAGCCAGCAAAAGATCTCAAGACATTTTGGAAGAGTCAGTGCAGTTCCCTGCTTCATTCCTGGCAGCCTGTTTGAGGCGGAGCACACGAACTGCGCTGCATTGCAGTGCCCCTCCGAAGCACTGACCACACCTTGCATTAGGCCATGGGTGATGCAAAACAGGCAGTGGTGGAACAGAATCACGGAGCCAAAATTCAGCGGCCAGCCATTTCAGAGAAAAATACACTTTCACACAAGCACGTGAAATTGTGTTAATGGAGCCCCTTTATGTTCAAGAGACACACTCCTACTGATGACTAGTTTCCACTGGTCTTCCAGCTGAACACCAACTTCAACTCCCAGCAACACCCCGCCTCAGGACCACCACCTCCCCAAGTTACCGTACAGCTTGCTTGCTTCCTGCCCTCCACAGCTGTCAACTTACCTTCTGAAGGATTTTCCACACTTTCTCATAAAAGCCAACAGGAACTCTGTTAATAGCACCATCAAGCCGCCTTCTGCGCAGCCACTGCCCTTTTCGGTCACCCTGGCTCGCGTCTCCGTTGGAGCCAGTAGGAGAAGAGCTAGTGGGAGATGATGGAGTACTGCTCCTCTGGAAGAAACGTTAAAGCCTTGGTTAGTTGCTTTCTACCACCCCAAGTGCTACTCCTGGGGAATAAATCATTCTGTTACAGTGCTACCTCAGAACTGGGGAAAAAATACAGGCCATGATGTCATACAAGATGATGGAGCAGGACTGACCCCTTTCGCTCCCCTTCACAACAAGCTTCTCTTCTCCAGTACTCACAATCATTTCTCAACAAATCAGGCAAGCAGTTCAACCAGGCATCACCCAGTACACTTCACTGCTTGGTTCAATGCAAGGCATGACTATTTTGACAAGCGTGAGTTGGCTGCCAGGGCAGCATCACTGGCGTGCAAGATGGTGGGATTTGCAGGCAGGTCTGACTCAGACTTTGGGCACAGTGTTGTAAGAAAACCAAAGGGTCCATGAGTGCAGAAAGAAAGGTCCTCCATGCAAGAAGCTCCATTACAGTAAGTAGATTAAAAATTGACTTAATGTGGTCATGTAATCATCACGCCTGCCTCTCTGTAAGCATCAGTTCTGCTGCCTTTATTGTCACTGCTGCTCTATTATTTTACTCTACCAGACTTGGAGATTAAATTAGGCAGCAAATCACATTCAAAGTCGTGGCACTACCACCAAATTCTTCTTCCCATTTCCACACATGCAGCCTGCCTACTCTTTGCATTCCCAGAGACTGTGCTCTTCTGTTTCCTCCTTCCTTTTTTGCACACCTATTACTGTCAGCCCAGAAAGGACTTCACTGACAGCCCCACTCAAATCCCATCATCTCTGAGTAAGGAACTTCCTGAGCAAAGTGCTGGGCAAGGTGGGAAATAAGAATGAAAACTGTATGTTTGCAAAGGATAGGCTCACTGACTCTACACAGCCAAGCTCTGCAAAAAAGCCAGCAAATGCAAACAAGTCCATATTCACTCCTATTGGTGTCAGCGAGGCATCGGTGGTGCTCCCTTGATGCGTGCTATGCCATTCCACCGCACACCGAGACAGACGGAACTTCCTCCACCCTGTTGCGCAGAGCTAGGGGATGCAGGAGGTCAGCAGGAGGGTGGGTGCCAAAGTAGAGAAACCCTTCAGCACACAGCAATTAATCTGGCTACTCAGGTGGTGCAGAGAAGCAAAGAGCTCACTGAACAATTCCGTGCACTTGAATCGAACACACAGTTGAAGCCTGCCTTTCTGCACTGGCGTGTGGGAAGAGAGGCAACAGCAACCTGGCAGTTGTGAGGCCAGGCCACAGGGCTCCCCCGTTGTGTATTTAGGACACTTGGGAAGGTGTGCCATCGGCAGCAAGTCTGCAGACGCAGAGCACCATGAATCACAACTGCCAGTTTAAAGTGCACGCAGAGCTGCAAGCTTTCCATCTCTTTGTGACAGATTTGGAGACTCAGACTGACTTTAACTTGTTGAGGTTTCTGTTGGAGGAGTATTTAAACAATTGCCTTCCTTCTTAACAGTGAGAGCTTAAAGAAGAGCTACAGTTTTCTGCCTTGAAAGAAGATGAGAAGATGACTGCCTGAGGAGATACCCAGGCCCGTAAAACTCCTGTCTCAGCAACCTGAAGCTGTTCTGGGTTCATTAATGTCCACAGACTGCCAGCATTTATCAACGCTACATTACTTGTAAATACTGATGACACCTGTAACATAATCCACCATCAAGTAGCTGAATCTGCTATAGCGCTTCATCTGCTACAGCTACTTAAGCTTCAGAAGAACTAAGTGCATCTAAATGCCAGACTCAACTTCTATTAAAATATTACTAATGAGAACTGGTTCCCAATGAAGATGAACAAAACAAAGAGGTAGGGTTTGAAAACAAGTTTTTATGCAGGAGAAGCCACAGGAGGTGTCTAGAGCTAAGACCCTTGCACACACACGCAGGGTGAGGAGCAGGCACAGACGGTGTTTTACCGTGGAAGCGAACATGATGCTGGACATGGAGTGGCCCTCATGAAAGAACTACAAAACAAAAACAGACACCAACATGTCAGCCAGCCAGCCACGACAGAACCAGGACACAAACAAGGTTAAGTAACCCGTGCGTGCAAAGACAAGAAACGTGCAATAAGCTCAGGTACTCAGTGGGAAACTCCGACAGCCCCTGGACTCTTGCAGGGCTGCACTTCAGCTGACTTTGGGGCAGCTGCTGCTGATTCCCAGGGTCACCACAAGGCAGACCCCACCGTGCCAGGAGAATCCTTGGCTGTGTTGCAGCCACAAGCTTCCCACACTATCCACTGAGCTCCAAGCGTGGCCAACACAAACTGCCACCATTTAAGATGCATGTGAAAGCTTCCCTGTGACTCAGGGCTGAGAAAAAAAAACCCAAGCTCTCCGCTTCTATTCCCCATTCGTTGCGATGTCAGCAGCTTCTCTTTGCACGAGAAGGTCATCTTGCTGCAGAAAGCCTGAGGGCTGCCAACTGGGTGGGCAGCGCTAAACAAACAGCTGCAAGGCAAATTTTTCACTGAAATGTGGAGGCACCACCTCAGACTGACAGCACTCTTCTCTAACTGTCCACCCCAAGCTGTGCCACCTGGTTAACTGTTAATGGCTCAGACCCAGGCAAAGGCTTCATGTTCAGACTCAAGAAACAACGGCAGCAAACAAAGAGCTGCAATCGCTCAACACCTGAGCTCTGGTGCAGAGATGCTAGTGCATGTACTTGAAATGTTCCTTGTAACACAAATTTGATCCCCCACCCCGACAAAATGGCATTACGTTAGTATCTAGTGAATTATTCAGAGAATGTAGTGAGATGTAGCAGGAAGCAGCATGAATGGCAAGGTGGGGGCAACAAAACCAAAACCAGCCAACTCGTCCTCTGTGCAAAATACCAAGTTTCCACCTAAGGCAAAAGCAACGCAGGAAATACATTTTCAACCTCAGCAACGGTGCAAGTGTTTCAGCTCAGGCCCTCCTCTGTGTTTAAAACAGAATAATGCTGCCACCTAGTGCCTAGTCCCTCCCCATGCTTGGAAAGGCCCTGAAGTCAGGCACCCGCTGTACAACTGCCAGCCCTGCTCAGACTGAACCCCCAAAGTCACCTCAGGGCCGGTGGACAGCAGCTAGCAGCACCTTCACAGCCACAGCCGTACCACGGGGCTCGGCCACGACCATGCTGGGGTATGGCTCAAACACGGAGACCGGGTCTCAGCCAGACAGACACCACATGTTTCACAGGCACTTTTGCTTCCCTGCCTGATGGTGTCCTGTGAAGAATCATTAACTGAACTTTACTGTCACCGTCAAACGCACCAGGTCAAGACCATGCAGAAACGCCACTCCTTTCTGAAGGCTTATCGAGCAAACCCGCTCCATACGCTCGAAGGAAAACATCACATACTTCCTCAGAAACTTCCAGAAATGGCCTCAGATTAAATGATTCAGGCTTGATAAGCATTCAGAAGAGAGGGTCCTTTAAAAATATGTTTCTAATATAGAACGACAGCATGGTTCGGGTTGGAAGGGACCTTTACAGATCACCTAGTCCAATCCCCCCTGCCGTGGGCAGGGATACCTTCTGCTAGACCAGGTTGCTCAAACCCCATCCAGCCTGACCTTGAACACTTCCAACCATGGGGCATCCACAGCTTCTCTGGGCAACCTCTTCCAGTGGCTCACCACTCTCATCGTAAAAGAATTCTTCCTTATGTCCAATGCAAAACTACCCTCTTTCATTTTAAATCCATTGCCCCTTGTCCTGTCATAACAGGCCTTGGCAAAAAGTCTCTTTCCACCTTTCTTAAATGCCACCTTTGTACACTGAAAGACCATAATAAGGTCTCCCTGGAACCTTCTCTTCTCCAGGGTGAACAATATGATGCCATTCATTCTTATAAATGTATTTTACTTGATTGCTACCTTCCTATTTATCTAGAGCAAAAGAAAATTACTAAAGAAGCATAAAAAAAGAGAAATCAAAAACAGTCACAACAAAACAATCAACAACGTTCATTCAGAATATTCTGGAGGCGTTTTCTATGATATTACTTCATATGCTCAGTTGCTCTATACTTTAAAGTATCAAACTTAAATATATATATATTCTAGCAGTAATCATCCTCCATTCCTGAAAAAAAACAGAACAGGAAGAAAACAAACCAAGACTTCTTTTCCAAGTATATCTTTTCCAAAAAGCACGTGGACCACATTAGCAACTTGTGCAGAGTATAAAAATGAACACTGTTTGCATGAAAGCTTCACTTTGTACATCTGACCTTTCCTTAGCTAAAGATGATTAAACAGCTGTTTTAAAGTTGATGTCATGAATGCATTAGAGTTTGTTCAAGTTCTTCTATATTCAACGTGTGAAACAAACAAAAAAGGAAGTACAATTTTGAAGGAAGCATCCCTCTACTGCTTTTTATTTAGTGATCAGCTTTAAATGAAGGGATCTTTGGAAACTTCTGTCATTTACCAAGAATCTATTTGGCATTAAAAATGGTCTCCTAACATTAACACACAAAAATGTAACATAGCACAGTACCAGAACAGCTGCATTTTCTGATGAGCATTGCTGGAAAACCCTCACCTGCTTTATCTCACTCTTCAATTTAGTAATACCACTTCTTTCTGTTTTGGTTGCTCCAGAATGCCCCATTTCATGAATAGAAATTGCAGGGCTAGATGAAGAGGAATCTACAGGTCGCACTGAAAGAAGCAAATGGACATTTTTAAAATTCTAGTGGGTAGAAAAGCAGATGAATTTTTATCTAGAAGTTAAAAGATAAAAGCATATCCTTCCACAATTGTCCAGTGTTCTTGGTGACAGCATCCTTCCAAATCATATCTGTAGTTCAAACCTGATTACATCAAGGCAGAGGCCTAGATCCATACTTGGATATTGGGACCCGATTTTCCAAAACATGGAGCCATCATAGCTTCGAAAGACATCAGAGTTGCAATGAGTCTGTGAGGGCTTAAGAATGAAGCCGGAAGACAGCTGAAGTGCCAGTCAGGAATACCTGGGCATCACAGACATCCTCCTTGAAGGCAAGTTAGATATGCCCTTTTTGTGGTCTTCATTCAGTCATATAAAATTTCTTCATTTTAAAAGTTTGCCTCTGTATCACTGAAAACGTGATACAATCTTATTTCAGTGCAGGACAGCTTCCGTCATATCTGTTTTGTTTATTCCGCAGCAGACACACACAGGTACTGGCCACCCATATTAATACATCACCTATACCTCTGTTTTACGTGCTAAGAGAGTAGATTCCTACCTATAAGACAATCTAACTTTGTATTTATAGTTCTCACTTAACCAAGCACCCAAGTGGACAACTTACAGCTTCTTTCCACACCAAACTCTTTTCCACTGAGAATATGGTGTAGGAGATTTTTCATATCAAAGGGACTTAGATTCATCAAACTCTCTGAAGCTTCTTCACCTAGTTAAAACAAAAATTAAAAAAAAACAGTGTGTGTATATATATATATATATATATAGTTAACATCACTGTAGGTTGCTTTATAGGTTGTTTTCCTAAGTGAACTGCTGACTGAATGAAGTTCAGTCACATTTTCCTCGTGGCTAGCACTTCCTTTAAAAAAATTAACACGTGGAGTCACATTCCAAAGAAAATACATTTCAAGACTAAACAACAAACACTGCATGGAAATAACACTATTTGCATTAAACAGTATGCTGCAGCCTGTGTGAAATCTCACTGAAGCTGATGATGAGAAAGCGTTTGCTCCTTTGTAGAGCAAGATTGCTTGGAAAGGCATTACAGCCATCTCCCAAAAGCAGCTGACACGCAGTTCTGAATTACAGAGCCAGAGTATCCCATAAAGAAATGCATGCATGTGGAAGGCTTGTGTTTTATTTGATTAAAGGATCATGCTTGTAAGTGAGAGGGAGAAAAAGCGCATAGATACACATGAGCACGTGTGTGGGCACAGACAAATCTCCCATAGGAGAACATGGAAAACGCAGCAATGAAGCTGAGGGCAGTGTACAAAGCAGCTGGCTTTTAAGGCTAAGGAATAACAAAAAGGGATCCCAGGAAAGAGAGGCTTTGTACTGTGAACAGAGCAGCTTCCGCTATTCAGCTGCAGGTTTGGGGGAAACAGGGCTTTCTGTACACTCTTCACACAGTAACAGAATTATCCCAGAAAATCACTTGGCTCCTTTTGTCAGCTTCTCCTAAGGGAGGAACCTGCCAGCCCCCCGTGGCAGCTAGCTACTCCAGTTAGAGAGCAGCAGCATCCAAAGTGGGCTCCATGTAACCAACTCCCAGGCACCCCCACTTCATTCCAGGAGGAAGAAAAACAGGGAGACCAGAAAATACGCTTCCACAATGTTATCCCCCTTTAGGGTGTGCTAGGGCATTAGAAATAGTAACAAGAGCTGAGCCACAAAGACGTGGCGCAGATCATGCTCCTAAGTGTCAGCATTTGACAATATATTTGTCACGTTAACTTAAGTTTTCATGACTGCTCCTTCTTTGACTTCTGACCCCTTGAAATAAAGAAAATTCTTCAATGATTTTTCAGATCTTTCTTCAATTGTGATTTCTCTCCAGTTCCACTTTTCTCTTCCAAAATGAGTTTTAAAATATTTTTGCCTTCCACCACTTGTTACTTAATTCTTGGGGTTTTGCAGGGCATGTGCAACATCCCGGGGGCCTGTAAGATTTTTTTGTTACTGACCTCCTGGCAAAGTAACATATTACTAGCTGAAATCAAATATTCTGCAACTAAGCACATTCGAGGGGAGGAGATTTATGCATAAAGGGAAGATGATCAGAAGTTACTTTGAATAAAAACTACCAGAATTATGAATTAAGACTCAAATATTCAGAAGATACCTAGGGTCCTAATTCGCATTGACATTAGTGGCATTGGATCCCTAAATACACACATATGCAATTTGATGACCTGGACCTCAAACATGTACTGCAACTCAGAGGACTTAAGAATTTAATATCCACTTCAGTGTAAGTAAGTAGGGGGTGGGGCTCAGAAATCTTTCATTAAGTCAAAAAGAGAAGTTATTTCCAAAGTTTGCAACTGCACATGCTGAATGAAGAAGTTAATAAAAGGATTTAACACATACCAATGAAAAAATAAACCACTGAGGTGAAGCAGAAATAACACCCTAAGGACCCTTATGACAAAATTGCTCTTACCTGAGCATTTCAGACTCCGAGCCAGCTCAGTGGCCATCACCTGAATTATCAGACCGATGCGGAGCCTGAGCATCTCCACAAAAAGACTAGGCTGTGACCGGACGTACATCGCCAAGTACATAATTATTTCCTGTAATGACAAATCCATAAGGGCACCCATTCAGAGTGGGTCCTCTTGGCTCTCCCGGTCACACTGGGCACAGCTGGAAGAACCCTTTTTACACATGCTGCATACCTGTGTCAGGACTGCAATACTGATGTCTTGGCCGCTGGCTTCATAAATAAGATCTGTGAGCTCCTCAGGTGGCAGTGGGCTGCAAGAAGGCAAACCACAGTTAGCAGCAACTCAGGCACTTGCTGTTAACCTCTCAAACAAGCACAGGAACCAAGACACCCAGGAACATCTTTGCACTGCAAAGGTGCCTATGGTTCTGCCTGGGTGGCTGCAATTCCTTCTGAAGGTGAGGAGTAAGTTTTAAAACAAGATAATAGCAGCAGGACGGTACCGGCAGGAAGATGAAGGGCAGGCTGCTTCTGTAATTGAGGCAGAGCTCCAACTTACGTGGTAATGATTTTCTCACGGGGTTCTGGTGGCAGGCCCACTGTAAGTTGCTTGTGGTGCGACAGAAGGTCTGTGCATGCCTATCGTAAAGAGAAAGAAAGCAAGAGACTTTTCTCTGAGTCATGTGGAAGTGATACAGCTTTTAATTCCCAAAAATGAAGCATTTCTTTAGCAATTTCTAAGTGCATTCCTATTAATTACCAGACGTGCAGATCCAGCAGAATGCTGGTAACTAGTTGCCAAAGATCCCCTGAAGTCAACAGGGCTATGAGGGTCTGCCCAGGCTGAAAGACTGCTTCCCCACTCAGTGATATCAGCAGCATAATGATTAGGGACTCCAGCGGGACTGGCAGATCAATAAAGGACTTTATTCTTTATCGTAAGATAAATGTTTGTTCTTTATTTAAGGTAAAACCCATTTTTAATCAATGAAAGAAAAGCTAAAAAAAAATAAATAATCCTGTGTACTAATATATCTCCTAAACAAACACCAAACATATTGCATCACATTCCTGAATTAGGCACCCTGATACATTCTGAAATAGGTGCTTCCCCCAGTACCACAGTGTTTACTCTTTTACATCAACCTCCTTTAAAAGTGGGTGTTCCGTTTACCTGTTTTAGCATCCTGAATCAAAGACCTCACAGAGCAACACTCCTCTGATTTTGAAGTCTATTTTCCCTCCATTAACGTGGAACAAAACAGATCATCTCAACTCTCTTCCTCCCCAAGTCTTTTGTCAGTATCTTCTCAACTGAACATACAAGGTTTTGTGTGAGCACGTCTGTACTGCTCGTCCATCGTGTCTTGAGGATGGAAAAGGTTATGGGCTTAATGAAGTTCCATGCAGGGTGATTATCACAAATTGCTTCCTGCAGATATGACTGTCACTAAGACATGGCATCCTAGCTGTGACAGTCAAAGCTTTGAAAATGGCCAGGAATTAGAGAAAGAGCTCTTCAGAAATATACAGATACAAGTAGGAAATTAAACAAATACTTTTAGAGTACTTGAGTGGAAACATTTTTGTAATATTCAAAATCAAATCTGTACCCTTGGTGGGATCAAGAACGTGGATCTTTCTTGTTGCCATTTAATAGTCCCAGATATTTTAATGCCTGTGAACACCCACATCCACACACAGAGCAGACTGTCTGCCCAATGGGACGGGAATTGGCAGAGCATGTTTTTGCATCATGGCTAGCACCTTGACATACTGATGCTCCAAAAGTGTTCATGCTATCACAGTAACAAGAGACAATTACCAATGACAACTACAACTTTCAAAGCACATAATTAAGCATCTGCAATTAACAGAGAATAAATGAAAGCTTCACAATTATTTACAGCGTGACATTCTCAGTCCATGCCAACATTGGCACATTACAGATGAAAGGTAAAGATGATGTTATAAGATTTTATATCGGAAAAGCAACCAGTGTTTACTGAAAAATGCTGCACTATGTAAATGGTGAAGTAGGACCAGAAGAGGGCAAGCACAAGCCCCATCGGCAAACCAGTAGTTTTATCTCTGTCTCCAGGCAGGAAACTGAACCAGCATTATTTGTATTTCATACCTCAGCCAGGACTTCCACTCTCTTTTTGAGTATACCAGAAATATAACGAATCAAGCCCCATTCTTGATTGAGGCCTGCTTTTCTGTAGAGCTCGTTGAGTAGGCAGTGAACAGTGACACCGTACTGTCCACCCAGCTCTGTGTCCCAGTCAGCACCTCTGCCAGAAAAGACACGGAAGGTAACTGTCATCAGATAAAATGCTATACTGCTTAACCTTACACCACACAACAAGCAGCCTAATTTTGATTGCATCACTCATTTTGGTGACAGAATTAAGTAGTACATGGGACATGTGGGCCTTCACCAGTGATCAGTTGTATGTGGACAAAGCCCTCTTGATACCAGGAACTTTCATATTAACTTGGGCACTCACTTAGCTATGAGCCTGTGACACCAAAGCACCCACCCAAGGGATTTCCCACCAGGCTTTAAACTGAGCAGGCACGCAGACAGTTTGCTGGAGGAACGCTCCACATGGTGCTTTTTCAAAGCAGAATTCAGCAATGTCTTCAGTACTGCTGAAGACTGCACCCATTTTTCAGATGCCTCAGGGAACTCTAAGTCTTTTGCCCTATCTCTTTCTTAGCTATTAGCTAAGCTTCCATGCTGCTTATGCCATCACTGAAAAAGCAAAGGAGATTTCCGTTCCTCTCCTGGTTTTGAAATTCACTGCATTATGGATGCTCTTTGGTAATGTTTTGAAGGGTCACAGAGTGACCTTCCAACTCCTGCTAGAGGGACAGAGTCCACTAGAAGTCCACCTGTCTGTCCAGCAGAGACTCCCATGATGAAACAAGTCCAGAACAGGAAATTAAGGGTGTTGCATGTAGTTAAACAACAAAATGATATTTTTTCAGGATTTCCTTTGCTCTTTAAGAGAGGCTGCTGAGCATTTTGCTTGGGAAATCAAGAAGATCAAAGAAGAGGTCCTCATAGGAGAAAGACTAAAATGAACAAAAATACAATCTGTGTAGCAGCATGGAAGGCCATCTGTGATTAACACCTGCTTGTCTTTGCACCCAAAGCTCACTTCCTGCCAGGTTCCAGCAGTATTCTCCTGCACAGGAAAAAAAGCCCAATAAATGCACTCCAGAAGACGATTCTGTTGGTTTGTATTTGCATTTTGTTCCCATCAAACTTAATTAAATAGCAGCTGTTCACTGACCCCAGAAGCTGGGGTTAGCCCGTTTCCAAGAATGTTTTAAGAGTACTGAGTTTTTAAGTCAGTGGTATACTTAAACACGCAGAGGGATTAGAGGAAAAATAGTGACTACTCATTAAAATTGCATTTTTACTTTAGTTAGAAAATGACAAGATGAAGTTTCCCTCCACTCCCCTTTTTGTGTATAAAAAAAAAATCACACCAAATCTTTGTGAACTTAACAGAGTGCCACAAATATTGCAAGGTGTGTTCTCATTCACGGAAAGGATTCGTGCATTTCACTTGTGAGCCTTGCAGCCTGTATGTATTCACAACTGTGTGCCAATCAACTCTGAAACTGGCACAAGCATTTTTTTTGTATCCAAATTATTTATGTAACCTCTCCCCTCAAAACACAACCCTGAACAGTGGAAAGCTCTTGGATAAGAATAATCAGATAGCTGTGACCACTTAAAGATGCTGAAGTTTATACTCAGACTACTCACTTTAGTATATGCAAGATATACAAGATATCTGCTTGATCATGGAGCGTTGGACATTCCTTCAGCTGCTCAACAAGCTTCCTGCAATCCAAATCACCGTGAGCATCTTTAGGCAAGTGCAAAACACTTTCACAGTCCTGATAACAAAGATGCATGAAAAAAATCAAAGAAACGATCTTGAAAAAGGTAGCAGATTGAATTCAAACTGTAACTTCCCATTAAATGATACAACAGACTGGCAACATAACTCTGTACTTGAAACACAGACACATCACAAAGTTCCTGCTAGACTACTGCAGACATGAAAAGTAGACTAATCTCAGGAAACACAGCACCCAGAATGGAACTTTGTCTCTAGTTTTGGTTCAATCAACAAGGAAAGCCATTTTCTGGACAAAACAAAGAAATACTTTGTCAAAGAAGGAAAACAAATTATTTGCATGCTTTTCCTGTCATTTGCTGTTACTTGTAAAGAGAAAACCAGAAGGATACTACCTTTTTATGGTTGAAATAATTTAGAGCTTTTTGACTTCCAACTCTAACCTGTATATATGTGGTGTTTTATGAATGCAGATGTTGCCATCATAAATTTTCCAAGCTTATGAAACTAACACATTAACTAATGAGATGATGCAATCCTGCAGTGAGCTCTTGGGTGAAGAGAAGTTTTGTTTAATAAGCTATCTCGCAATTTATATGGTCCTAAAATACCACTTCCACAAACAGAGCCTGTGAAGCAAAATCCTTCAGGAGGCTGGATACAACCTCCTGTAACCATCCTCAGCAGCTGGTCACATATATGAAGACAAAACCAGTGCCCAGCACAACCCCATCTTCATGCCTTGTAGTGGGATTTGGCTCGTGCCTTAAGGACATCTGTCCTTTCACACACTCCCCCCTCCAGCCCAAGACATTACTGTAAGTAGCATTTCTTGGAAAACATCTCTAGAGGCTGTGAACATCCCATCCTTCCCTTTGTGTGTTCACTTAGAACTAAAGGCGATGACTTACCTTTTGGCCTTTAAAAATATGCACCTATTATATTATTTTCTGTTTGGCATACACAGTCAAAGATTTTCTACTTGATAATGTCTATTTAACCAAAACACCTTCACCCAGCCAAAAAATAAATTCCAAAACAAGGGAGCAGCTATCCGGTGCCTCAGGCAGAATGGCTTATCTGTTTAGAAAAATGAGAACTAGCATAGGGTTTGGCTGCAAAACACAGGAAAGGCCACAGTATCGCATCCTAAAAACACAAACAGCATAAAAATTCCCACAGCTTACCTTTGTCTCAAACAAATGGGGATTATCAACAAGATTCAGAGACTTCCGGTGCGTGTTCAGAACTTTAGTGGGAAGAGACATAGACACAGCTGGAAAGCAAAGCCACCAGAAAAAATAATTTAAAAAAAGACTGTTTCAGTAACATGAAAATCAAAAACACCTATATGAAGCAACTATACTAGGTAAAACCAACAGAAACATCTCCAAGAGTCAAAATATAGAGGCAATGCTTCTGAGATGCTGTGCATGGATTACAGAAACAAGCTCATGCTCTAAATCTTATCTCCTTGCAGGCTTGCTCCAAGAGCTTCTGAGATCAGCACAAGACCCAGGTGCTATGTGCTCAACTTAACACCTCTTATGATGCCTCAGAAATCCTACAGCCCAATGACCTGACCTTAGTAAGTGTTTTAAACATTTCAACAGGTATTATGTGGAGGAAATCATCTAACAGGTAAGATATCATAATTAAAATGATAATGCTAAACGCAGGCTAATGCTCTGTTAACTTTGTATGTTGAATTCAACAGAGGATCAGATGATGTGGCACAGAAAGATGGGAGAAAAAGACTAACAAAAGAGCTTAGAAGTTCTTAACTTACACTGAAGTTAGGGAAGCCTTCCCTTAACCAGGGCCCTGTTGGAATCTATTCCAACACATAAAACAATGCTTATGTTGGAATATATTTACAAGTTCAATCAAAGCATTATTTTGGTGTAAATCCTCCAATCAGTCTATTAGAAATGCAGCATAATTAGGAATGCTGTCCTCCCTCTCTACTCCATTTGTTCTTACAAGTTTAGAAAGTATACATGCATACTTAATGTTCCTCTGGCATCGAAACATTTCATTTCACCACAACTTTACTAAAATAACTATATTTTGTTGGCCTTTGTTTATACAAAAAAAAAATTAATTCACTGACTCAGTTTCTAAAATTCTATCCAACTGAGAAGCTGTAGCAGTTCCCATAACATCAACTTTGATTAAATGTTACAAGTCATTGCAGGTTATTTATGTATCCACCAAGACATGGGATACTGTGGGAACATGACAGTAACCGCTTCAGACTCATTCTTATTCCTTGATTAACTATAACATACTTGTGCCATTAGTTCTTTTTAAATGTCAGGATTTTTAAATACTTGAACCTACCTCTTGTAGCACCCAAAACAGGTTTTCTGTTATTATCACTAAATAAATAATAGGGAGAAATACCTGGAACCTCCAAGCCCTTTGTCTTGGCCATTATTGATAGTATCTCTTTTGTGGAATGGTTTGCACAGGTGGTTGATTCGCAGGAGAACATGGGTGGTTGATTGGCAGTCTTTGAAGTTGGAGGCAGGTATGACTTCAGTGCTGTACTCTGCAGGACATCATTTATGTACTGATCCAGCTCATCCTGGCTTTCTACGTGACATGTATAAAATAAAAGGTTTGTTAAAGGTAAAATCATAATTTATCAGTGCTTTCTTTTTCTAACACACCACTCTATTCTTGCTTATATAGAAGGGCATACAAAAATGCAAGAATATTGTAAGCAAGAGATTAAGCTGAACAAATTGGAAAGAAAAAAAATTAATCCATTTTTGACACTTTGAAACAGTTACATTAAGAAGTTGTTTATCCCTTTGAAAGGCAGCAAAAGGGTTTCTTTCTTGCCAGTAGTCCACAGATGATGGTTGGGGAAATATTTTCAAATAGCAATTACCTTTTTGCAAACAGTGGTGCTCTGGGGGATTTTTGCTTCTATATCCCGGTGCATTTCAGTTCTACAATAGGTTTATTCTGCCAGCTTTCCAGGTTGCAGTGCATTTTAGTTACAAATAGGGATTTTTTTTTTTAATTTTTTTTTTTCTTCTCTCTCCCTCTCTCTCTTGATAGTATCTCTTTTGTGGAATGGTTTGCACAGGTGGTTGATTCGCAGGAGAACATGGGTGGTTGATTGGCAGTCTTTGAAGTTGGAGGCAGGTATGACTTCAGTGCTGTACTCTGCAGGACATCATTTATGTACTGATCCAGCTCATCCTGGCTTTCTACGTGACATGTATAAAATAAAAGGTTTGTTAAAGGTAAAATCATAATTTATCAGTGCTTTCTTTTTCTAACACACCACTCTATTCTTGCTTATATAGAAGGGCATACAAAAATGCAAGAATATTGTAAGCAAGAGATTAAGCTGAACAAATTGGAAAGAAAAAAAATTAATCCATTTTTGACACTTTGAAACAGTTACATTAAGAAGTTGTTTATCCCTTTGAAAGGCAGCAAAAGGGTTTCTTTCTTGCCAGTAGTCCACAGATGATGGTTGGGACTCAATGATCTTAAAAGTCTTTTCCAACCTAAATGATTCTATGATTCTACCATCTCTTCCACACAAGCTCTTGTCTATGACTCCTCACAGTCTCTTCCTCCCTCCAGTCTCTTCCACCCACTCCCAAACCCCCCAGCCCCCCTACATCAGCTCACTCTTCAGTCTCAGCTTTACTGCAACAGTTATTGGTCAACGCCATACTATGAACGTAGGAAGAATATGCACAAGTTCCTTCTCCAAGTTAAGCCATGCAGGTACTGTCCTCAGACTGATGCATGAGAAACCTGAATGACTATCAACTGCGCACAAAACAGACTCTGCATTGTAGGCAAACCCAGGCTGATAGAACTTGACAAAGAAAAAAAAACAAAGTGAAAAAACAGTACCTTCTTCGCAGAAGTCTGCTGGGTAGCCTCCATATTCACTGTCAGGACTATTACGGCCTTCATTAGAATCATCAAACAGTTTTACGTCACAGTCTGGATCCAGGAAGCTCAGATACGTATGAAAAGAGGTGGTAAGAAATTCTGATAGCTTGCCTATCTTCACCCTGCAAACAGGAACACACGCCAAAGAGCATTAACGTTCACCACTTTGATACCAATTAATGCTCACTGAGCTTTCAACAACTCCTCCAAAACTTATGAGGCCTACTGTTAAATCCACCTTTGGTAACTACAAAGCAGCAGATACTCATACTGAGAAAAACAAATGCAAAACAATAGTTGCAGATCCAGCTAGGTACTTACTGCTCTAGCTACTAATTGAACTTAACTGTGTTATGGTAACACCTACAGGCCTAACTCAAAGCCTAATTATGCAGGGTGCCATATGTTTATACGAAGAGAGACCCTGAACAAAGACCTAAACTCCAAGGATAATGCATGAGAAACTGGGTCTGAGAAGTTCCCGTGAACAGCAGTATCTTTTCTCAGAACTGCAGCACTGCTAAAAAACAGAAAGCACATCTGATTGTCAGAGGAAGATACTCACTGAGAGAGGGTGAGCAGAAGGAGAATAGGGAGGTACTGTGGCATCATATTAAGTTGCCTTTACATGTAGATGAACGGAACACGTAAGCTTGCAAGTACTACACGTAATTCATGTTTAAAAGACCTCCAATATCTGTGAAAGATAATTACTTCTGAAAAACAGAAGCCCAGCCAAACCCAAGTTTTTGTATTTCCAGAAGTCATTCATTTTTTCTTATCCATTAATAGCAGGCAGACACGACACACCTTTTGGGAGACAGATCTTTTCCATTGCATCTGAGGTCCAGCTACCATCCGATTGCCACATAATAACCAAAGCTGAAACTTACCTCTCTGCAGAGTTCCAGTACAAGGTCTGCACACTATCACAAGCTCAAAACTGAGGCTTGTATAGGATTTAATTAAAAAAAAGTCATGGAAACAATCATTTGGGGGTTCTGACATTACCTTGCACCTCCAAAATAACCATCCTCTAATTTTCTTATGGTGGCGAGAACTGCTGGATGAATGTCAGTACCATCATCAACTACAAAAGAATGGAAGAGTTGAAGCTTCACTTAAGAAGCTTTACTTCTTAAATTATCATGTCCAAATAAAGTGGATTACTGGGTGTTCTCTACAAAGCAGATCAGACAAATTTAAAACAGAACCCACAACTGCTATCAATACTAGGTTATTTAAAAAACCCCAAACCAGTAAGCAAACAGAAAACAAACGTGGGACAAGTTCTAAAGGGATTTCTCAAGACAAAACCCAACCCACTCAAAGTTCCAAAGGGATTTCTATCAAATTTCTTTGGACAGAAATAGTATGGAAATGATGGGGAGATGCAAGGATATAAAGGGGGAGTAAAACCAAAATGAAATATTGCCATGTCATCCAAATTGAGCATACACTTGAGAAAGTTAAACTGTACTTTTGATGTTAAAACTCAGTTGTTGAAACAGTCATCCTACCTGTCTCCTCTCAAACTGACTTTCATTCTACTCTCCTGCAGTAATCTACTGTGCTTGAAACAGAGGAAATTAAGTTTACCAAGCATTGTGTGGGTGATGGGAAACGTCAGCGTTGGTCTCCCTGTCATCCTCCAACAAGAAGTGAGGTAAGCCAGCTCTGTCTTGAGCATCTCCACGATCATCTGATTGTCTAGAGCCAGGTAGAAGTGATGCTGGTCGGTAAACTAGAGAACAGAGAAATATGGCATATGAGTAATCGTCAGTGCTCTCATTTTTTTCCATTTCCTCCTTTAAATCATTCACAAAAGCCATATGAGCTATTCTTGACCACAACACAGTCTGCATAAATTAACCTAACAAGGCCTGTGACTGTGAAAAAGAAATCCACACTTGTGCAGAGTCCATTTTCTCACACTTGTAGGCTGATCGTGAAAGAAGTAAGCTATAGAAATACAAAGTAGACAATCACACCCATGGAGCAGAATCTTCCCAATGGTGAATTACAGTAACCTATGATCTGGAAGACACAAGTATTCTAAAAGCGGAAGAAAAAGCTAACAATAGCAACAAAAATCAATAAATAGGCTTAAGTGCACACTGGGGACTGGGGACTAGTCACTGTATGTCTCTTGGGAACACTCTGAAAGTGAAGCAGAATACAGAAAAGCTGGCAGTTACTGCAGAAAAAAAAAAGGGACATAAACTGTCCAGTGGTAAACTGTGCTATTCCAACTACAGAGGAAAGCGAAGAACCCACAGCAAGAGACTATTATGGCTACTTCAGGAGCTGGAAACTAAAAAAAGCCGCACAAACAATGGAAAGTATGTCAAAGCAGCCACGACAAAAGTTAAGGAAGCACATAAGCCTTGGGGAGGGGTGGAAAAAGGAGGTTGGGATGTAAAATAAATGTCAATTAGTAAGACACATAATAGTCAAGGAGAAAGCTTCCTGTAAATGCATCAGAAGTAATAGGAAAATAAATAAACTGTAGGTCTGTTAGCGATGAAAGAAAGAAGGTAGGAAGAAAGGATAAAGGCAAGCTGAAACATTTGATGCTGTTTTTACTGACAGAAGAAAAGCAGTGAATTATGACCTGTAATACTACTTTTAACGAAGCAATAGGAGTGCAGCCTGAGTATGGGAAGAAAAGGTTAAAGAGCACATAAATTCAACCTGGCAAACTCCAGAGAAATTACTTCATAGAACTTAAGGAACTAGCCAAAACAAACCCTGAAACACTCGCAATTAAGTTTTGCTAATTCAGGAAGAGCAAGTCCCAGAAATCCAGAGAGAAGCAAACACACTGCCTGTCCTTAAAAAAGGAAGAGCCAGGATAACACAGACCAGTGAAGCCAATTTCAGTGCCTGAAAGCACAGGAAAACAAAGCCAGTTTGAGACTGCCAAGATAATTACAAAATGATAAAGCAAGATGGCCAAACTGTCATATCAAAAACCAATCTCAGCAAACCAGTCCAATTTCCTTTTTTGGGAGCAACTAGATGGTAGGTACAAGAAAGTGGCTGACATCTCTCAACTTTTGCAAATTTTCACACCAGTGAGCTGAAGAAAAAACATCTGAGGTGTCAGTTCACACAAGGTAGTTATTATCCATTTTGTCAGAATGAGAGCGTATCTAAATGGGGTCAGCCTTTGCCCCACACCTAATCAATGTTTTCATTAGAGAACAGGATGAAATACAAACTACAAAACCGCAAAATTTGTGGACATTACTCAAGATCAACACAGATGAGTTAACTGCTAACCTTAGGAAGGTGAAATTAAACATTAATTCCACTCCCCCCAAAGAAAAAGTCAGGAGGAAATGTCTGCCTACAAAGTACAACAGAAAACATTATGGAGGTTTCAGTCAAACATGGAATAAGCAGGAACTGTCAGTGTGTTGCTGATGCAAAGATAAATGCTGTTTTGGAATATATTAATAAGTATGTCCATACTTGATATATGGCAAGATTTCAGCGGGAATTTTGAGTCCTACTTACATAATAAAATGTGGACAAAGAGGTATTTTGAAAATCATTACTCTAAGGAATTTTTCCCTAATTTGCAGAAGTGAAAATTGGTGTGGAGGAACAACACAACAAATAAACAGTCTGTTACAAAGCTGCTTGGGATCAACTGACACAGGGAAGAACGGGAAGGGAGCCATGTTATTCACGGTAAATCCAATGTTGTTTGGACATCATGAAGCACTGCAGAAGCCATCTATGCAATCCACTGAATAGTCCACTTCCAGTGGAATTTGAAGACTACATTAGTCAAACATCTATTTAGGAGGGTGTGAGCATTCTTTATCCTGCTCCATTTGCACATATTTGGAGCAGGTGATCCCTTGGCCTTCTAATACCAACTGCTAGAATAAGTCTACAGGAGTGTGTCATATTTCATTAAATGTATAAATAAGAGCCATTAATTCTGGGAGAATCCAAACTTCCAGCTACATTGAAAAAGGCACTAAATTGAAAACAAAGACAGGAACATCCCTTTCCCAGTACTACTGACCCTTTCAATGATATAAAAGAAGATTACATCTTAGTCTCTTGGGGGTTATAGTACTTGGCACGCTTATGTGAAACTAAATTTTCCATCAGAGCAATCAGTAGAAAGATTTATTAAGTGACCTATTTCTGGAGAAACTATTTTATTAGCTAGAATGTTGGTTTGGAAAGAGATCAGTAACAACTGTACTATTGAGTTGCTGGGTTCTCCTAGGCCAGAAGCCAAAGAAGCCAGACTGTATGACAGAAGAGAGATTTATCAGCACTCCTACCATGCTCATCATCCAACGTTCTTAAAAAACCCACAAAGCAAAGCTCATCTGCTTTATCAGCCCCGGTCTACCTGAAGTAGTGTGACAGCACATAAAAGCAAAGTGCTTCACTAATGATTAGCCATTAAGCAAGCACTGATTTCCCTGTCAGCTTTACATGCTCACCTGAGGGGTAAAAGCAAATATTTGATTTCTTATCATGTACAGCTTGGAGGTGCCTAACACTCCAATGTGTCGGTGTGGCCGTCCACTTAATTTCATGTTCTTGTTCCTGCCTGTAAAGAAAAAAAGAAAAATAAAAAGCCTCACTTAACATTTCCTGTGTGGTTTTCCACAACCACCATTTTACACAAGGAGATCTACTTCATTTGTATCAGCAAGGCAGAAGACAGATTACAGAGTGAGATGCTACAGACTGGTGTGTTTTGTACCAATCAGCAATATAGTAGCCAGAGTTCTTCAAAGGCCTGATTAAAAATAAAAATTTTGGTTTCACTGACCATGGGGTTGGGTCTTTTAATTAGTGTCATTGCTCAGCACCCAAAGCTTCCCCACTGAGAACAGGAGGTATGACCTTTCAAAAACAAGGCCACCAACACAACAGAAATTGTAGTGCTTTCACTGTAGAATCTTAAAAATTCTTGCCCACAGAAGGCTAAATCCAAATACACAGTACATCCAAATACAAAGATTTTCATTCATCAGGCTAATAAGCCCCAATTTTCTCAGTAGAGGTTATTAGCAAATGATCCACACTGTATCCTTTGCTCCAGCAGCCAGGAGCTGACTTGAACCTGTCTGATAAGGACTATGAGCCAACCAACCACATGCCTGAAAAAATACCATTGTGAACATTCCCAAAGAAGTCACTGTTAAAAACAATACAGCAATGTGTCAAATCATCCTACTCACTCCCACTAGTGAAGGAAACCTATTATGAACTATTATGAAATAAATGTAAGCTTCAAAGCCCTGCAAATGTTTCATTTGTTAGAAGTTCTTTGTGATAAACTGAAAAATTCTTTCCCAAAAGCAGCATGTGCAATTTCCCTTCTCCATGCAAAGGGCACGCTTTCTAAGATTTATCTGAAGGCCCCATTACTTTGGATGCTTCCAAAAAACTTCCTGTTAAACAAAAAAAAACCCTCAACAGAAACGACCACAACAACAAAAGAACCCCCAAGCCCACCTCATGAACAGCCTCATACCCTCCCTCAGCATTATCTGTAACCAAACTGACATGGGAGCACGCTCCAGTCTGACAGAGAAGCACGATACAGCTCCCCTTGTCCATGCTGCAAAGGAATCTACTGATGCTGATTCTCCCCACCTCGATTTTACTTTGTAGTAACATCTGCGGTTTTGATTCATGAGTTGCTGGCACGCTTGAAGTAGTAAAACTAAGTTCAATTAGGAATACAGGTAACAAATTTTCCACCAAGACCCCATTCATTCCAGCAAGGATTATCAAAAGAGACAAAGGATTTTCAACTTCACTAGAACCCATAGGAGTTTTGGGACATTTATTTAATCCAACTGCCAGGCTCTGGGGAAAACAGGCCTCTAGGGCCATGGCTGAGGCATTGGAACATATTTAAACTCCTGTGTCTAGAAAAGCCCTAAAGGCTTCTGAGTTTGCAACAGAGACAGAGCTTCAGCAGCTCAACTCTGCTCAGGGTTGGAAGGAACATCAGCAAGAACGTGACAGCCCAAAGATGCTCTAAGAGCAGCACTGCTTCCCTGATTTGGAGGCGAAAACTTCCCAGGTTGTCTGCTGGTAGAATGGCAACCACACTGCTCAGTTTCCAGACTTAAAACAGTACTCTGACTTCTGAAAGGAAAAACATTTGATTTTTTTCTGTGTTTTTCCAGGCATTTTTTCTAAAGCCAGTTTCTCTGTGGAAGTAGTTCCTGAAGGACACAAGAAGAGACAGTTCTTGCCTAACTCCAAGAGCACAAGGAAACTTGTATTTTGGCCACCTTTTCTAATAAGGTTGTTGGGTTCTTTTTTCCTGTTGGAGCCCCTTAAGACAGAAGTTCTGATTTTGTTAAGCTTCTTTCCACAAACGCATTTTTTTAAATCAATGGAATTTATTTAAATAAAAGAAATTAAATCAAAGAAATTGAGACAGTGTGAAGCAAGAAAAGCACAAAACAAACCACCACCCTTAAAAAAATACCTTGCACAGCAACAGTGAGAGGCTTCCATGTTCAAATACCTACCCAGCATGGTGTAGAGATTACTCAGGATACGAGCTGGCTGCACTCTGAGTGGATGGATATCAGCAATGCTCTGAACATTGATTCCATGGTCTTGCAAGAGATTCTTAATTTGATTAGATTCTGCCAAAACAGTTACTGCGTAACAGAAAACAAAACCAGTAGTAAGAACCAATGTTCTGCTCTTTTTAACTGAATGTTTCTACTGTCACCTCTCAACTACTGCATTTAGTTGACTAAAAAGGCACAAAGGCCTTACTTCTTTCTTCATTTATGAGCCTGTGAGATCAAAAGGGAGTCAGACAGATTTTGGCTCTCTGCTTCTCAACATGTCTTGCCATTCTCCTCCACTTTGGATCACAGGGTAATTCAAACTAGAAGGGTCCTTACCAGGTCACTACTCCCAACCTCCTGCTCAAAGCAGGGTCAGCTCTGAGGTTAGACCAGGTTCTTTGGGGCTTTATCAGTTTCTTCTGGCTTCTTTCAGTACTACTAGTTTGGATCATGAATTCCCTTTCAGCAGATAGGGCTTCCCCTCCACCCCCATAAAAGAAGGAATAAGAGAACTTGAAAATCTTTGTTTTAGTACAGCACACTAAAACAACACAGCCGAGTCAATGGGGAATGGGTGCTGTTACTTGTATAGCAATAAATGTTACAGGGCCATAAAGTGGCAGAGGCAGGGGTGAAGTCCCCAAATCAGAGGAATTTACAATCCAGGCCCTGATCTTGCTCCCTTGTTCTGCTTGAGGTTTTGCCCATTTTAGCTGGCTTATTGGTTTGGGACTAATAGTTCAGTATTCTTCTTTGCATTATAAATACTTGTCAAAGAATGCTAAAAATAAGCAAGCACTTATATTTCTACTAGAAATTAAGCACTTCAGAATAACAAAATTGCCACCCCCATGAGATACCAACAGGGGTTAAACAAGCAGCTGCCTGGGTCACAGTATCATTGGTGAAGGCTTCTCCTGATAAACAAGTTGGCTGCTTTTCCAGAGCAGTACAGGTCCTTGAAAAGTCTGGTGTTTGCCCTCTGCTTAATTTTCTGGTTTTGGCTATTCCTGCACTGACTAAAGAAGCCATTCCCTGCAGCAGCCAAAAGATAAGTCCACCTGCCTCGCCTCTGTGTACAGAGATCCTCCCAAATCATTGCTCTCTGTGGTTCTTCCAAAAAGGGGCTGCACAGAAACCTAACTAAACTGACCTGTCTCCTGCCAGTCCTACTCTTTCTTGCTAGAATCCACCAAGATTTTCCTTTTCACTACAGGATTAAGTTTGCCACTATCCAGCCCCTGACAAGTCTTAAAATTTTAACAGGTATTTTTTCCCTCCTGGAGAAAGGCAGCTAGGCAAACAACTCCTTTCTCCTTCCCAGAGTATCATCAAGGCATTCATGTCCCATGCAAAAATCCACATTGTTTTTAAACATGTCTGTCTTCTCTCCTGCACGTAGGGACTTCACCATTACATGATCCAATTCACCCAGAACGTTCAAAAAACTCCCTCACCTTGTACCACAACATCAGGTTTAAATCCAGTGGAAAATCTCCTGTTTAAGGGATCAATTTCACCTGCAGCAAGAAAACCCTAGAATAAATGCAAGAGGAAGAAAAAAGAAACGAAACAAAGTTACGTAAAAGGCTTCTGATGACATCTGTAAGAAATCTTAACCAATTTTCATATTTTATCAGGAGAGCGGAACTTAAAGCCTGGGTTATCTACCCTGTCCACCAAGTAGTACATTCAATAAAAACAGTGGCTGCGATATTTTTCAGAACAACAAAAAAAGGGTTATGACTGACACAGCCTGCATGCTCAGATTTTTTATTTTAGAGTTGCAGCAACTGACAGAATTTTGCCAGACCAGCGATTATTTTGCGGCTCCACAGAGATATTCAATGGTTCCTTTAACAAGTCCATGGCTAATATGGGACAACTCTGTAGGCACCTTATGCTACAGAGTAAGGCATAGCCTAGTGGAGCTGAAACAGTGCAAAATCCTAGCTCTGGGACAGCCAAGTCAGCCTGGGCATACTCCTCTGGCCTAACCATATAGCCAGTCCATCCGACAACTTATGTGACATGATTAGAAACAGACAGCTGCATATCTATCTATCTATATATACACACACACACACCCCCCCCCAAAAAATAGCTCCTGAAAGCTCAGAGTCACCCCTCCATGGTTCATGTACATGTTTCTACTGAAAAACACTTTGTTCCCTACCTGTCAACCTAATTGTACTTAAAGCCCAAGCCATCTCAAAACAAAATGAAATACAAGCTCATCTACTATACAAAAAACCATTACCTCTGCTAATAGGCAGCTAAGAACATACAATGATTGGCCCCAAAGATGAGGCAATTTTCCCACTGGGATGCGATCCACTGAGTGAGGATTTTCATACTCCTCGTCCACCTGAAACCAAATGCATAAGCAAGAAAAATTACCCTAAAGTTGCGAAGAACAATTGATAACATGGAAGTATTTGAAAAACTATGGTCTATCATTTACCCTTCCTAACCTGCCACTATTAGTGACATCCAGATCTCTTGGGTTTACTTTTAAGGCTGCACGTTTTCTGGGACATGAACTACACTTTATTTTTGTACACCACCCTTCAAAGCTGGAGGTTGAATGGCGAGTCTGCATGCAATTACAGCTTCCTTGTTAGCATTTCCCCTTTCTTCTCACCATGCCTTTGCTGCCTTCCCTCTGGGCAGCTTGTAGGTAATTGTGTGTCTGTTTTCCAACCCCTTGCAAGATGACACTTAATAAAGTGCTATGGTATATTTCCTCTCTGACCTTCAGTTCTGAAGTCAGCATCAGCACTTAACTATATGTCTTCCTATGAGGCTTTAAAACTTTAGACCTGCTCTAATATTTCCATAGGCACACAGTTTCCTAAGTAAGAAATGTCACTGTTTGGAAGCCTAAAGTTTACCATTTCTCAGTGGGAGCTGAGAGAGGTCTCTTAGTTTTTAAATAATGTGCAGCAGTCTTTTTTTATTGCTGGTTTAGCTTGATCAGCTACAGGAAAACTGTAAAACCCACGTTCATCTTGGCATCTGTACTTTGCATGCTGCATTTTCACAATACCTTTTCTGGAGGGACTGCGTACAGTTCAGGCATTAGCAGTATTCCGTTCTTCTCTCTAATAAGTATTCCTTCCAGAGCCTCTCTATACTCTTGCACCTGGAAATATTTTTGAAAGAGTGAGAAGTCACATTACAGTCAGCAAAACCAAAACAGTAAAGTTAAAGTTTTAGTACTTTCCAACAGTACTTTTCTGACAAAAGTTCATTAAAAAAATGGGGATGAGGTGGGGGGGTGGGGAGGCAGAAATCATGACCCACTGATGGAAGATCAGAGTTCAAATTCTCAGACACTGTTCCAGCATCTCAATATTATCAGCTGCAGAAAACACAAATACATATCTTTAATCTATAACATACTGCTGCAGTACAAAACTTCTAACATATTGCTATCAAGAAGTCACTGGAACAAATCCTACATGAAATTTGCAACGGATGACAATGCAGTGACATGGATGTCAGGGCTGCTAATATCCATTAAAGTGTAACGTGTATAAATTGTTAGCTTTTTACCATGCACATTTTCTGAATTATGCTTTGCAGGATTGGGAAATGTTTCTCCTAACTGATTAGCTTAAAACTTTGCCCCATTGAAAACTTAAAATAGATTTAATCTGTTGGAAAACTTCTAAGTTAACTGAACAGAAAATCCTCCTGTTCTTGTGTTGTCAGACAACATATTATGAACAGGAATACCAGACTGATACAAAATAAAGAACATTTCGTATTCTTTTTACTAGATCCCTTCTTCTATTCCATTTCTTAACCATCATCATTCCAAGTTTTTACTTACAGGGAAGGTGTTTTCAAGCACTACCAGCACCTGCCTCTGAAATCCTATTTCTGCTATCCCTTTCTGAGTACAGCGGCACGCGCAAGGTAAGGTACCCACAGGTTCTTATTATGGTACACTGATATTTTCAGTATCCTGTCCTTCCCAACTCTTTTTGAGTCCTCAGGGTGCTTATTTTTCTAACAATTGCTGCCCTTGCAACCACTTCTTTGCAGCAGTAATTGGGGAAGACTAGACACTCACCTGAGTGTCTCAGTGACTCACTCGGCTTTTTAAATGGTGGGGACTGGGAGCAATTGCTTGGTCTGACCATGCCCTAGCACAGCCCGTCTGCACACCTTAAAGGCAACCAGGTACACACCGTTCCAGATAATCCAACTAAGTTCTAGAGACTGCTTTGTGAATTGGTATTTCATTGAAATTACTGAAGATTCAGTAAACTTTCCGATTCCCCACCCCTCATGAAATAATGCCATTTCTCTCTCCACCAGACTATTTTTACTGTATTCAGGAAAGCAACTTACATTTCTAGTGTCAGTAAGTATTTACTTGATTTACAACATCTAGTACAGAAAGAGGGCTTTTTGGTCTGAAATTCCCTGCATTGTTTCTGATACCAGTTTATTTTTTAAGAGGTTATGTTTAGCAATTTCCTGTCCCTCTGCATATGAGGAAATTTTAAGTCTCATGTATTTTTTACTTCCTTCAAGTCACCGATATACAGAAGTCTTGGTATGAATACTTGACACAGTAAAGACATGAAGTAACTTAAGGAATCACCAATTAACTTAGGAAATTAGTGAAAATTAAATAGCTCCTCATAATCCAATCCCAAGTCTCCCTGAATGTATAAAAGGACTGAAGATACTATGAATCTTGTTATCAGCAGCCAAGCCACAGAGACTGGGGGAAAAAGAAGCTGGTCTCATCCTGCAGTAATTGGGAAAGAGGCATCAAGGTTGGTAATCAGACAGATCCAGGCAAATTAACCCTGTTCAGCCCAGTTTGACCACACCAGCTAACAGAACCACCCAACCCAGCAGAGAGGGCAATGAGGCCCCAGTGTGCACAATACCGCAGCCTCCACCACATCACAAACTCCCCAGGAAGATGAGATTGGCTGAAAACTACTCCCATCCTGCTGATGGGGTATCCCACTGCTACCCAAAATAAACATGGAACAAAGCTACAAAATACTGTGGGTAAATGGCTCTGCGTTTCCATTGAAAGTAATTTCTTCTTTCCTCACCTGAATTTTGTCCTCATTAAATACTCCATCAATTAGGAAGTATGTCCAGAATACCGGCCACTCACATTCTATATTCTCAAAGAGCTTGAGCTCAGCAGGATCGTAGTGCAGCCTGCTTGGATCCTAGAAATTCAATCATGCTTGTTTAGTCACAGCGCTAAATTAGTCACTCATATTCCAATCATAATGGCAGCCTACTTTATAGAAGTAATAAAACCAAGAAACCAATAAAATCACCAGAAATAGTTGCCATGCAGTTCCTTGACTTCTTTTTCACATTCAGTAAACTGATTTAATCATTCCCTAGACAAATTGACCCTTTCTAGTCTCAGAACCTAGGTGTCACCCAAATAATCTTCCCTCTGCCTCAGTTCAAAGGTATTTTGGGATGCCTCAGAGACACAGCTTCCACTTAGGTACCATAAGTGTATCTAAGGGTTCATTTCTTACAGAATTATGAATTAAGTGCTGTTCCTAATAACTGGGTTTCAAACCCTGAGCCTCTTTCAGATACGTGTAATTTCTAGGCCGGATACCTGGATGACCTCCAAATCCATGAAGATGCCTTAACAGAGGTACAGAACTTCATGTAAATGAGACAAAAAAGTCTACAAACAAGAGATAAAACTCTCCCTAATGTACACTAAAAACGTGTATCAGAAGTACCTCTCTGGGTGTCTTGTAACCATCTCGGAGAAAGCGACAGCAGCCATAGCGGCCCTGTAAAAACAGACAAAATTATAGAAAGCTTCACATACTGTTCTTCCTCACAGATTAACATCAGCATAAAAGTATGTGCTGACTTTTAAGTGTCACTCAGGGATTTTCCTCCCTCCCTTCCATGCACAGACGCACCAAATCTGCCAACCCTTGTTTAATTAGGATTTTCAGTTAAGAAAGGGAGGTTCTGCTTCTCTTCCCCTCTGGAAAATAAAAATAAAGGAAATCCTTACCTGCAATTTGGATATAATTTCACTCTTGGTCACATTAACAAGGTTTAGATCCTCCACTGCAAAAGCCGGGTAAGAAATAATAGAGAGAAGTCCAGCATCTATCTCCTTTGACGTGGAAGCCCTTGGCAACATGGAGTATAGAATAGACTGAGCAAAACAGGAACAGGAGAGAGGGATGTAAAACAATTTACCTACTTCAAAAGACTATGTCAGCTGCAAAGGGAATAGACTACACTATTTGCAAACTGACAGAGAACTCACTGCATAATTATTTTTAACTGAATTAGAATGAGAATGCTTCACACCACTCACTTTCACATGATCTATTAGAAACAGGGTGAACAGCATAGTCTGAAGACGTCCTTATTACGTTAAATTCTTGGTTCAGTTAATCAACATCTCATTTAAAAGCAAAAGGGACAGGGTGTTGGGTTTTCCTCTTGCAAAGGAAACAGAAGACTAATTTTTACCTGACAATGCTCTACTTCATCAGGAAGAACATGAATCACTGATTTGTGTCCTCCATGAGCTCCAAAAAGATCTAGTTCATCAATTGCTTCCAAAGCAGCCTTCAAAAAGAACCAAACAACCCAAAACCATTAAATACCTTTTAAGCCAAGTATATACCCTAGTATATGTGCTTATCCTCTGAAGGAAATTACATAAGACAGAAGGTTGCTCCACAGACAGTTTTTCATCTTTAAAGGGAAGCTTGGCAATATTTTAGAAAAATTAAGTACTTCTGTCTTTCTGCTAGTGCTGGCGACCCTTCTTACAATTTAAAGGCAATGCCAAACAATGGGGAGCAGGGATTCCACTGAGATAATATCTATAATATTAAAGTACTTATTAATAAATGCTTCTCCTGTCCTATATTTCAAAATAACTCTCCATTCAGTGGCCTTTCACTCCTCCTGCCTGAAGGGCTGTTCAAAGTGGAAGGCTTCTTCAAGGCGTCCCAGAATCAGCAGAGGCCTGTGCCCC